CCTAACAAAGATAGCTTTGTGCGCAATCGATAGGTCGAACGCTGCTCGACGCCACTGCCACTGCGGCGTGTCCCTCGCTTCGGAATAGCTAATGAAATTCAATTTATTGAGGTCGAACCAGCTTCAATTCAATGAAGCGAATTATATTTGACCGTCGCTGCGGTGGCTTCATAATCATTGTTATGCCGAGAAGTACGCGATGTTTTCTTTTCTTCCTCTCTATCGCGACGATGACACATCGGGTTGCGATTGTCGAAGCTGCACGGCTTTATTTTCCATTTCCCTCCGGTGCAAAATCCTTGCGGCGAGCGGAACGTTTCCCAAGACCTCTCGTGGAAAAACACACGCTGCTTCGTGCACGATTTTCGGGCGACGTTCGTGTCTATCGGTCAGGTTCAGGTCAAATTTAAGACAATTGCGAGCGAATAACATTCCGTGAAAAGTCGATGGCTATAATTAGCCAGCGTGGAGCAGCGATAGGAATACGCGGCAAATTTACATAGCGCGCAACAAGAGCTGTTAAGTCGCCGACGCTTTCGTCTCCTCTCGTAACGCCACGCGCAACCAGCTGGTCGAAACGCCTTCACCATTACTCATCGGTCTACTAACTTTCTTTGCTATTCCACGAGATGTGACAAATCGAAAATTCAAATCACGCGCCCGTCAATGACAGCACGCGCGCACATAAATCCCCCTCCCCCGGCGCCGAGGAACATAAACACAGAAAGATTATCTCGGCTACCAAATCGCTTCCGCGATCCGACTTATGTTAATGCCCCGCGACGAAGTGAGTCACGCAAAAAAAAACAACAATTGAGTTATTTAGGTGGATGGCCTAATATAGACGCACCTGCGTTAGAAGGACGGTCGATGATGGACAAGCCTGCGTTGCGATATTTTCGGAATGTTTATTTACGAGAGTTGTCTTTTGTTTTCACGCGAAGTGCCCGGCGACGCTAAGCATGCGCAGTTTCCCTTATTATTTTCGTCGCGACGACGACCACGACGACGAGTGAGACGAGCATTTTCGAAGTGACGGCCGAGAGACGACTCGTTTTGCAATTCACTCCGCGAATAGAATATTGTTTTATGTAATTTCTTGACGCTTTTCGTCGAGTTTAGCAAACTTCAGAGCGCATCTTAATAGCGAATCATCAGCTAAGACTTCTGTACAACTTAGATTGGCATTCGGCGCGGCAGCTTTATTTATAGCGCCCCCCCCTCTCTCTCTTTTTAACAAGATAAAATGTTGCTACAAGCGAGATAATAATATCCCTCGCGCGAGTCGGTGAATGTTTACACTTGGAAATTCACTGGCTGCTTTCTGTATTTATAAAAATCTGTAACACAAGGCTCCCAAGTAAATTCTAAACGTGCGGTTTTTAATAAAAGTGGTTACAACTTAATTCTATCGAAAGTCTGCAATGGTACGTTGCCGGAAAGTAGATGCGAAGTTGCGAGATGCATGCAATTAAGCACTTTGGAGTGTCGTCAACGCGAAATGTGGATCCAACATGGCGCTTGTGTGTGGGACCGACTTGCCAATTATCGTCACGTATTCCTAAGCAAAAAGCAGCACAGCCGTCGAAGAGCTGAATAAAGATCAGCGAGGAATAGCGTACGCTATTGCTTTGCGGGGAGAAGCATCCACGAAATAAAAAAAAAATAACAGGATTCGATATCGTGCGGCGCGGCTAATGGAATCACAGATTTCCTGTCGAGGACAGCCTGCGAAAGAGAGAGAAAGAGAGAGAAAGAGAGAGAGAGAGAGAGAGAGTTTACAAGTTTTAATATGAGGCGAATAAAGTAACAGCTTGTGCCCGATAACGTTGCCTTTCCGCTGGTTGCGTAGGTGCGCGCGCGCGAGTTCGTACACGTGTATATAGTGTATCGACCGAACTTCAGAACGCGGCGTCGAGGCTGAACTTCTATTCTCGTTGACTTTTCTTGCGCACAAAAATGACTTCTCTCTATTGATAGAACGCTCGCCTTGCCATTTTCACTTAAAATCTTGTTTGCTCGATTCGCCCTCGCGCGCAAACGCATTGTTTATTGTTCCGAATCGCGCGCGGATAACTTTCGTAACGTCTGGCGAGGCGTAAATCACGAGGAAACGGAAAAAAAAAGCAACGTCGCGATAAGCTGCCGAACGTTAACTTAATTATCTCGTCGGAGATAGTCGAAAGAAAATTAATTTCAGGGTTGGCTGGAAAAAGAAAAAAAAATTTTAAAAAAACGAGCGCCCGTGGCGGCGATAAACACACATCGTCGTTGACCGACGATTAGCATTTTCCACGCTCGTACAATCGTAAATTTAATCTGCGTTGTATTGTAAATAAATGCAATACGCACGCGCGAAAAGAGACGAGAGGTCCTCATGTTTTATTGTTTTTTTTTTAAATCTCTAAATAGCCTTCTCTTGCTTGTTTTGTTTTTATTTTTATTTACTTTTTATTGTAGCTTTGACGAAAGTTAAAATTACCTAGATAGCCCGTGCTTGTGTTTACATTACACGCCTGGGTAAATTAATAAGACTCGTTAATTTACGGGTGTTTTTACTGCTTTACGCGAAATTGCAGTGCCGCAACATTGAAACATTGACTCTCTTTGATCCTGAATTACTTCCGCCCGTATGAATAGCGTATCTACTCACTTGGCTGCAGTAGGCAAAGCTGCAGCTTTACTACGACGTCGGATGACTGATCGTTTATTGCTGACACAGGTGACTCTTTCGTTTTGTCTATTTCATTTGAGAGGCTTGCGTGTTTTTTATTTTCTCTTTCTTTTGATCGGTTGAATTTCCAAGAATTAACCTTGTTGCTACAATTATTTGTTGGAGATACGAATGTTGAAATATTTGCGTGTCGTGATCGTATCGTATGTTTTAGTATTTATAAGATATTTTCAATTAAAGAAACAATAAATAGTTTCCGCGGAGTCATTGATTACAAGTGAAACGCGGCTGCAGTTTCCATTTTTCTTTTTGCCAACAAGATTTTTAATTTTCGTGTATCGAAATCGTTTGTCGAAAAATTCATTAACTTTATGTACCGACGATTGGAAATTTTCTTTGGCATTACTCGATGAGTCATTCATCTTGCGTGCCAATAAATTTGAAGTTATAAAAGCTGAAAACGTGCGATCTTTATGGGGAGTTTGAAGTCGGCGTAGGTACCTGATTTATCGATTCTGCGGTCCGAGTGTTGCGTTGCTATACCAACTCATTTTTAATTCTCAATAAATGACTGTATAATCACAGTCAAGTAAAACGGATAATCTAGCAAAGTATGCGTACCAATTCGAGAGTATCTTCCTGCAATCGTAGATTGTCCGACGTTCGTAAGTCGAAACAAATGTTACAGTCGCGGAACCGCCCGGCCGCCGCCCTCACAAGGAAAAATAAGACGACCGGCATATCCGCGAGGCTCGAAGAGAAAAAAAAAAGATGAGGAAGGCAGCAACAATGTTACATCTGGTCGCTAATTACCGCAGCAAACGGCCTCGTTTTCGCTTCTTCTCTCGCATCCTGCCGTCGTCGGCGAACCGAAAAAAGATAAACATTCCCAGACGTGCGCTTGCGCGTCTTCTTACGACACGTACAGCCTCGTGACGCCCATACGTCGTCGTCGATTCGCGCTATTCTCGTATACAGACGCAACTCTCTCCCTCTCTCTCACCGTATTGCCAGCGCGTGCGTTAATCGATCTGTCTGCTTTTTGCCATAAAGCCTCTTGCCGTCGAGTCGATTTATTCGCCAATACGATGGATCGCGAGCGAATTGTCGAGAACATAATCGCGAGCTCGCGACGGTATTCTCGCTTTGCGCAGCCTTGCGCCACGATCGTCGAATCGTGGCCGAGAGGCCACGGAGACGACGCGGGTCACCGAGTTGCTGCGCGGATTAATTCGGAAGAATACTCGCGCCGCCGCCTTCGATCGATCGATCGCGAGGGAGACCTCCTCGCGACGGTGTAGCGACGTACGTATATATATATATATATATATATATATAGAGAGAGAGAGAAAACAGTCGTTGGCCGACGGCAGCATCGGCTGCACTGCGTCGATTTGCTGGCTTTGTCGCAGCGACTCGGTCGTCCGCCCGTCGCCAAATTGCCGCGCGCCGTGCTCGTCGGCTCTCTGTATTGCCGGCGTCGCGTTGCGCGATCACGTGCGTTACATCACTAGCCGCATGATTTGTTTGGCTTTTATCTGTCGAGCACGCGCACGGTATCAATTTGCCAGTGCAAACGAAAGCCGCGCAGATAAGCTCAAAGCCACGGCTTTGACAAAACAATCTCGCTCGAGCGCGTCATTGTTTGTACTTCAAAGTGCGGCATTCAACCGTCAATATTTAGTATCTTCACTCGTCGTCCTTCGCAGCTAATTATATCCAGGCAAAACGACAAGCTCCGAACAAACTTTCCGCGTGCACGCGCGAAAGAGAGAGAAAGAGGAAGGAGGGACGAGACACGGAGGAGACGCGGAGGAGACGCGGAGGAGACGCGGATCGATCCGCGGCGCGCTTGCAAGCTCTCCGCGTTTATCGGTCCACCTGATGTGTCGATGACGTCACGCGCGGAGAGCGCGAGAGAGAAAGAGGGTGAGAGGGCGAGCAAAAGGTTCAACGACCTTTATCTGGCCGACGCAGCCGCGTGCGAGCTCGTTAAATTCCGCTTTCCAATGCGCCTCCCTGGCTGCGGAAGGGGCACTCTGCGAACTCGCGCCAGCTCGCTTTTTTGCTCGCGCGTCTGTGCACTGCCGCGACGGCTTCGCTGACGCGCTCGGCGTCGCGCGCTGACCAAACAACGTCTCGTTAGCGGCGCGTTGCGTATCGATTCCGGGCGCGTCGAGCGGTTCGCTCGCAGAGATAGCGAAGAGCCCGTCGCCGAGGACACGCTCGCCTCGGAGGTGTAGCGCGGCCGCTGTGCGGCTTCGTCAAAACTGCCTGCCCCCCTTGCTGATGAAAGATGTGTTTTGTTAATGTTGCAGATAACGCCATGCAATACGCCAGCGACGCCGCCGAATTTCCCGGACGCCCTGCTGGCCTTCTCGAGAATGTCGGCGGGCGAGAAAACGCCTTCGGGTAAGTGTTTCACACTCTCTCCCCTCCTTCCTTCCTTTCCTCCCTCCCTCGCTCTCTCGGCTTAATTAAACCCCCGAGCTCTTTTGTCTCCGCGCGCAAGACACTCGCCAGCAGCGGGCGCGTGTCGGCATTCCGAGCATCCGCGCTCCGCTCGCGAAAACAAGAAGCGCGCCGAGGAATGTAAATTTGGTCAATTATCGGTCGCTCGCGAGATAAGCGCACGGATGAGAGGGAGTACGCCCTCGCGGCGAAGGTGTGCGCGCGCGTGGGTAAAAGTCAAGGCTCCTCTCTCGCCCCCGTGGTGGGCGACGCAGACTCCGTAGGCAAATTTCGAGAGCATCGATCGCCCCGCGACAGCGAACGTCGGAGGAAAGGAAAAAACAAAAAAAACAACATTCTCTCGGGTTTATCGGCGGCCGCGGCACGTGCGCTCGGCGTGCCACGACGGCGGCACTCCGTACCGCACTCACACACTCTCTCTCTCTCTCTCTCTCTCTCTCTCTCGTCGCACGCTTCGATTGCTATTATACGCACATACCCGCGAGCTTATCCATCTCTTTTTCTTTTCCTTGATTCTTCGTACACGCGGCGTGGCGGAGTGGTTCTTGCCCTCGTCGCTTCGGCGGATTTTTCATTAGAGGCAGACTTGTTCTCGGTCCCTCGACTCGACGCGCAGCGCTGGACAAAGCTGGAACGGCAATCGCGCGTCCGGGTGACAACGCGAAAGTTCGCGTTTTGTTGTCGCCGCGCGTTATTCCACGACACGTGCGCTCTATTACCGTTTGCGCGCCTCCCGCCTTCCTGTCGGGCCGAAAAAGAAAACAAGGAAGGAGGATCGACAAATCATGTTAAATGCTTCTAGCTAGCCCGAAGCTATTCGCGTGCGCGTACATATATATAAACGAGAGGTGGCGTGAAAATAAACGCTTTCGGAGCGGAGCCTCGAGGGAAAGTGACAACTGTATATTTGAATAAAAAAAAAGAGAGAATAAAAGCAACGATCGTCCACAAAGTTATTCTGTTGCGTGTGATGCAACGGCGCGCGTGGCTTCTTTTTCTCTTTTGTTTTTACACGCGATAAGACGGCCAGACTGTTAACCTCCTTTTTCGTTCTGCTGACCCACTCGATTTGCTTTTTTCGTCTTCGCGACGCAAGAACGCAGTCGTTTCGTTTGACCGGCCTGTAAATAAAGCCAGGTTATGCCGATTATAGACTCTTGTAGGCACTTACGAGCTTGTCGAAAAGTTGCTTGTCCCCTTAGCCATTGCGAAATTGCATAAGTAAACCAACCAAGGATCAAACGAGCTGGGGAAAACTGTCAGCCGCGAAAATTGCGAGAACGGGAAGAAAAGTTTCCGCTCGCGACGGCTTGTTAATGGATCGTTCGCTCGACTAAAATCCGAACTTACGCCTCTTCCCCATCTTTTGTTATACTTTCGCCTGCTTTTTTTAGCTTGCCAAAGCTGATTTCGGCTTAATTAGCTCTATTATTGCAATCGGGAAGCTTACTTTACGCCACTTGTACGTTTCCACGATAGCAGACAAGTAATTGCTTTCAGCTCATTGATTTCTATATTTTTATTTTTTACGCGTTATCGAATCGAATCGTATTACGTACGCTAACGAGATTTTTGCGAATTTGATATCCCGACGTAGTTTTCGCTATTGCATTGCTGAAATAAACTCAACTTGAGCAATATGTTTTCAACAAAGGGATAAAAATTTTGATTGATTTTCGATTCGGATAAGGATGCTTGTGCTTTTTTTATGCTTGTTCGAATGTCCGCATGACGTTAGTGTTTTGATCCGATTGACATGATTCCACGTAAATGTCAGCCCGAAATGGAATTTCGTGTTGCAGGTATGTCGCCCAGTCAAAACGGCGTGCAGCACTCGGGCCAGCAAGGCGCGGCGTCGCCCAGTCAAAACGGCGTGCAGCACTCGGGCCAGCAGCAAGGCGCGGCGTCGCCAACGCAGCGGTCTAGCGGCGGCCACGCGCAGCATCACAATCATCACTCGAACCACGTGAATCATTCGCCAGCGGCCACGGCAACGGCGCATCATCATCATAATAACCAACAGCAGTTCGAGCCTCCTCCAAGATAAGAGAGCGCGTGAGATGCGCGTCTCGGCAGCGCACCTTTAGTTCCTCAGAGAGCCGATTAACAATGCGACACACACTCACGGACACGGACGCACGCACATCGACATATATACAAGTTTTACACGATGCCCACATATCTTCCGTAGCTTCCGTTTTGTCTGTTGTTTTTTCTTTCCTCCTGGCGTTGCTTTCCGTTTCCTGTGCCGTGGCTGCTAGCAAGTGTGTGTAAACTCTCACTTGCCGATCGAAGTTGAAAGGGAAAATAGCAGCAGATCCCTACGCAATATTTCTTTCTCTTTTTTAAGTGTCTTTTATTACCTTATACCGTTTTAATGGATTCGAGTATAGAGCCGCGTAACAACCATACGTAAACTTCCACTTCGGCGACAAACAAAGAAAAGGTTTGGGCGACGTTCGAGTCCTAATTATATAAACAACGAGTTCTAAGTGTATGTATGTATGTTGTGTGTGTATGTGTGTATGACTGTCGCTACTCTATATATGTTAACGAGTAGCAACAAACCTGTAATACTATAGCAGCTAAATGATGAGATGGAGTTGTCGTACCCCTCGACTCTGATTTTTTTTACACCAAAAGAGGTGTGTGTAGCTAAACAAATGAGAAAGGAAGAGACAGGAGGCGTCGAGCGCGAAAAACAGTACAAAACTAATAACAATGAGTCTGATGGCTCGCACGCAAAAAGTGTGCTGTGCAGACCCGCGACCGTTTTCCTTTCTGTACATAGTCACGCCGGTGTCTGACTTATGGAATTTCATGTGTAATCTATGTGTATAAAACAAAACAAAACTAAAACTTTGTCTCTTAGACGTTATAACGGTGTTGCGCTGACGATCTTAGTTGCACACTGTGCGTCGACTCTTTTCTCTTCGTTTGGAAATTGACGCAGGGGATGACGCATTTATTTGATAAAGCAGCGACTTTTCGATACCGCACTCGATAATTTGAGGAAGAAAGAAAGAAAGATGATATTTTCCTAAATACGACATGGCGAAAGCATATATATGGGCAGTTTAGAATTGAATTTAGGAGTGTGATGATGACGGAAGCATCTTACTCCCATACACACACATACCACAAATCAATAAATGTAAATATTACAAAAAGATGCACGCGTCAGCGTGACGTTCGTGAGGAAGCGTAAATGTCGTTGCGTTCAATGAAAAAAATTAAAAAAATTAATAAAAAAAAATATTCAACGTTGATGTTACTCGTCGTAAGTGTTATGAACAAAAATGATTAACAAATGTCCACGTGTGTGTTTTCCCCTCCGCCGCGAGAAATAAACGAAGATGGCCAAAAAAAAAGCGAAAAACAAAACACACCGACTGAACGCGGACTGACGGAAAAAAGCCGAGAGTAGCCCGGTTACCCTTGACCCTCTGACGTGCGCACGTGTCAAGTCGCTGCCCCGCGCAGAATGAGAGATTAAAGTACTGCCTTCGTGTTTCTTTTCGTTCTTTCTTCTCCGCTCATCTTCGCGTCTATCACTTGTTATCGATAATAAGAAGCGTCCCTATCCCTTCATCAATTTTGTAATCATTCTTCCCTACTATACTATTCACCACATAATTAATGACCGAGCAATATCGAGAACGCCTATAGTATACAATCGCACAAATTTGCTCTTATTTCTTTGCGTTGTCGTTCTGTAGTTGCGCCAAACTCTAAACGGAATTTTTATATTTGAGAATTGAGTTCGTATTATTTTTTTTCTTTTTCTTTTTGCGACTCGTTGAGAATAACAAAAAGGGAAGAAACGATGAGTTTTGTTTCGGCAACTATGTGCTGTATATAATAGAGAAGCTGTACTATGGAAAAAAAATTGTAAATTAGTTCGTATATAACAAAGTGAAAAAATATATAGGATATAGTTTGTATTTAAACGCGATATTATTCAGTCGGTAATAGATGTTATGAGAAACAAACAGTTTTATAATGTAGACTTTTAATTTGAGAGTCAAACTTTCTTGACCATTATCAACGTGTATAAACAAAACATTGTGAAAGTCAAAAACTACATCTGTATATCGTCTAAAAAAAGGAAAATTTATCGATTTTTTAAGTCATAAGATCAGAATGTCTAAATATTCGATATTTTTGTATTTGTTAGACACGTTTTTGAATTGTTCTGATATTATTGATAGTAAAAACAACGATTTCTTCTTCATATTTTTTTTGTGCATATACAAGAACGTTGCATAAGTAGTGTAAAAATGAAGACGAAAGAAACACTTGTTAATAATAGTACAGATAATAGACTTCTGCTTCAGATTATTTGTTGTTTCTGCTATTTCAATGATCTACTGATTTTGTTTTCTCTGCTGAAAACTTTCATGACTTTCAGCAAAAGAAATACATAAAATAATAATTTAGATAAAATGTGTTAAATGACGTTGCGATCGAATCGAATCTGTTTGTTTTTTCATGTAAATATGCGATCATATGATGACAGCGTGTGACAATTATATGATAATAATGATAAGTGATGGTATAAATAGCAACAAACAGAACACTATGTGTTTTCCCCTTTTATGAAGAAGAATGCTTTAACGTTTATTAAACAGATATCTCTTACACGTTTACGGCATTTAGGCTATTATTATGTTAATAACTATTATTGCTATTATTGTTTATTTGATTATTAATTATAAACAATGTTCACTGTACATAATTACAAGAGAAAGAAAAATATCTGAATAAATCATTAATAATGGTGCTTTTATAGATGATTTGTTGACTCGACCATCCTTTCCCACGTGTTTAATAATTTTCAATTAAATAGAACAAACTTTTAATTATAAGTAAGAATTATTTATTTGCACAAATATACATTCAATTTTTACTATTTGAACTATATGCATATAAAGTATATATATTATAATAATATAAACATTACAAGTTTGAAAACTTGTACATAAAAATTTACTTAAAAAAGTATTCATTTAATTATATCATCTGATTGCAGCATAAGCATTTTTCGCGTACTGTTTATTGCACGATCTGTAAGATAATGTATTAATCGCCGTAATAAGATTGTTATTGTTATTGAAGAAGTTTTATTTAATTAATATACGGTAACTTTATGAAAGTATATAATATTTATACTCAAACGTTGCATCATTTTACATCTCAGCCGTTCAATCTATATACGATTGTTATTTTATGCAATTTATGAGGACCTAATAATCAGTATCGCGATCAGCTTTTTACGCATGGATCAAGATTATCAGTAGCTAATAATCATAAAAAGTATATACAACTTTACTCGAGAATCGTATTTTTCGATCAATGCAAAATTGGTTTGTTTCTATAAAATATAAAATATATACAAGGTGACCATAACTATCGACAAATTCATGATACCAACAATACGTACATCCATGATCGGCAGAACTAGTTTTCAGCAAAAATTTATGTCGCTGTCACTCCACGATTGAGACCAAACCATCTGTCAGGTACTGGCAAGAAATACTTGTGCATTGCAGTAATAAAACGAGCTCGATACTCGATTGGTGACACTATCGTTGGTAATTTTCCTTGACTATTGGTTAAGATTTTTCTTTTTAAAAGTGTTTCGATCTTTTTATCCCACGTAAATGTACGGATATAATCTGAAATTCAATACATTTTAGCAAATAGTTTCGTTTACCATTCAAAACAAAAATATTGTCAATTCAATCGGCACTAATAAAAAAGAAAGAATCGTTACTTATTTTCCAACTACCATTGATCAAGTCTTGTTCTAGAATGCAAGTTATTAATTCTTACCAATTATGCCTAACACGAGCTCGTCTGAATTCGGTTCAAGGCCTACAAGTAGTGAATAGTCCATCACACAGTTGTCTGCCAAGAATTTAGTATCTTCCTCAATAGCCTTGTTCAAAACGGCTTTGGCATGTGGCCGTATATACAATGGGGAGTCACAGCTCACTAAAATAAATGAAACCGTTTAAAACATCGGCAAAACGTTAATAGAATGATTTACTAGATGTATAAATCTAAAACTAATGGGTTAGTAGATTAGAACTCTATTTTTGTTTACTATTTAATAAATTCTCGTCCAGTAAAACTAATTCTCCCTCCTCGACCTCTTCTGGATTCACAAGTCGATTCCTCACCGAGCCTTTTAGATCAAATTTATCCGTAATACTTCTGTTGTAAAACAAATTTTCCATAACAAGAAAATTCATTTGAATGGCTGCACTGGATTGTGTGTTTCTGAATGATACGCGATAAACTCCTACAATTTTTCCCAATAGAGTTGGTTGATTAGTTTGCTGACACTTTTCCATGTAAGCGAAGTAATTTGGCGCAAAGTCGAGAAAAATTTGGAGGTCTATAGGTTTCATCTCTTTCAAAATAAATCTATCATCTGTGAAAATAAAATTTATCAGTATTCTATAAGGTAAACGTGAAATGTAATAAAATTAATAAAATTATAAAATAATTATACCTCTTGTTTTGCAAAATGTGCTTCCACTTTTGCCACCTCGTGCTGCCCACTGCACGCTTCGACTTAAGCTTCTAGTATAGCCGTCTTCACCGCAAGAAAGTACACGTTCTCTCAATGCGGCAAACTGAACAGCAAAATATATTTTGCAAAAAAAGTCCGTCGTTGAATCGGCAAATTGAACTTCCACGAATATCGGCTGTGGTGGTTTGGTTTTTAGCTCATCATCTTTTTCTGTAGCCGTTGACGTAGAAGATTGCGTTGCTTCCATTGTGCTTCCAAGTAATGGCTTATCAGTTTCCATAGGACTACCCTGTAAAATTTAAGTAAAAAAACAGCAGGATAAGTGATTCGGAATAGCCTCATTTTTTAATGAATAATATTTACGACTAACCAGTATATGAGGATTGGGACTAGTTCCTCTAAGAAATGATAACATAGAAGATTTCTTGGTTTCGCCAGATTGTGTGACATCGGACACGTTCTCTTTGTTATCTTGTAATTTTCTTTTATTAAGTGGACTCGGAGCTAATTCTGGTGGCTTTAAATCTCGAATTTGTGATTGCACTGCATGTTTGTACTCTATGGAATCCAAAGCGTACGCTATGATGGAAGATGGTTCGGATTCGTACACAACTATTGGTACTGTAGAGCTACAAGACAAAATTATTCCACTTTGTTGTAAACATTATTACTTTTTCAGTATTTCGTTGATTTTTATCGTGTTTTTACCCAAGTGGTAATAAATGATGTTCAAAATAACCCAATGGACTTGGTATTATATTCATTGTACTCGTCGAAGGCAGCAACTGCGATAGAATAGTCTTCTTCTTCTTTTTCTTATCAGGCGCCTCTTCGGAAACTGTGGACATTGCATCTGAATACGTCCGATGACGTGTTTTCGGAGAGCCTTATTAGTACGAGTACAGTAAAAAAATTTACAATTATCAGAAGTATCCTTGCGTAATGTCATTTTTTACAACAATATTTTCAAGCATTAACCCGTAAGCTTACTATAAATCTATATAAACATGCATTTAGCAAAATTAAAAAAATGACATTAATCTACAAGTACACCTAATAAGCATTTATGAAATAGATATCCCATGCAATTTCACCTTGCAAAACGACAATATCATCAGGATTAGGTAGTGTATGTGACTCAGGAACTTCGTTATCCGAGCTTTCTACTACATTTAACTTAGCTTCTTGAATTGCCGCGATCGCTTCAACGGCATTATAATCCGCAGACATAGGACTTTGATCTTCGGCCTGTGACTCAAAAGCATTGTCTTCGGTGTTATACCCATCATTTTCCTGTGTACCACCAATGTTAGTGCCGGTAGTGATGGGTGTACGTTCGGTCGCTTTACGAGTTAAACGATCATCCTTCTTCTTACTGCTTGCTTCGTTAATTTTGGAGTTCCACGTTTCGACTGCATCAGCTATCACACGTTTCACGATCACTATGTTGTCCTCGATACGATGCACCAAATTTTGCACTTGTTTCTCCGAAGATTTTCCTATAATCATTGAATTATTGTATTTTTTTTTAGAAAAAATTCAATAACATAATTCTATAACTTACCTTCGGTCTTCTTATTTTCCAAAGGAGGCAAAGTGAATTTGAGCTGTAGCTCGTCGATCTTGTTTTTAAAATACTGCTGATCCTTGCTTAATTGGGTTTTTAAAGAAGCTAACGTTTCTGAATCCAACTGCAGTCCATTAATCTTTTCTCGCACGCAGGAGAACATTTCGTCGCCCTTCGTTCCCAATCCTTTCATTTCTTCAACGATGCTAGCGTATAGCTTTGAATCGTAACTTATGTGAATAAGCGGTGGTGGTAATGATATCTCCCATTGTGATATCTTGCAATAACGCATTACTGCCAGCATATTACGCTTACAGAAGAATTGATGATGGTCATGGTGTAGTGAATGTTGGCATGTATCTGTGCCACGTCGAGTATAAACACTACCGTGGAATCGAAGTTCAAGATATTTAGCAAACGAAAGCGACCAAGTGTCGTCGGAAATAGGGACTACAGGCGACACGCCTTTGCACTTTGTACACTTGCTCCACATAAAAATTTGATTTGATTTCTCCTGGCCTGTAATATCAAAGCTTTTAATGAAATTCTAAATATACTGTTGGAATATTTTAAAACGTTTGGTAGTCTACCTTGACTGAAAGGATCTATGTTCATTGCACACAAACTAATGTGTACGCAACCACCGTCATGCACAAAACGACGGACGTGCTGAGCAATCTGAGCCCTACAGTTTTGAGCTGGGCACTTGTATTCTGTGGTAAGACAGTAACGTTCCAGAAAGCGGCCCAAGGCAATATCGTTGCGTCCATAAAGATCCATATTCACCACCCAAGGATTAACACAAAAAGCTGGGGTATTATCACTGTAATTTGAACAAGTTTTATCGCAAATATTTCGCTTGGTGCATTAAATCAATGAGTATATTCATTGATACACTTACGTATTTGTATTATGCAAAAAGCTACAAAACAAAACGGACAATCTCTGATGACTAACAGGATCTAAGCAATCTGGCCACATAACTTGCTGCTGTTGTTCAGATGCTTCACTTTGCATTGAAATCGGTTTTTTTTCTAACAATGCTGGATCTATCTTGTCAAGACGACTTCCGCAAGCTCGAAAATGCGCCAACATATTCTGCACTTCACGGCTGTCAGCGCTCAATGTTAATTTTATTTGAAGCAATGGATGAGGTGGCTTCAATATAATGTTTGGTTGTGAATTTTCGTAATTTGTAGTATCGCTCAGTTTTGCACCTGTATTAAAGAATGTTTAATTAGTTTAAAATAAATACATCGATATAATTGAATTTTAATAACATGTCTATGCTATACCTTTAATTTTATCAAAAAAATAAGCTGAGTAATACAGCTCCTTAGGGAAGAAACTCCTTAGTACACAATTCCTGCCAGGCTCAGTCTCGAGATAAGGTATCGTGAATTTCAAATACGGCGAAACACTGAGAATTGTTCCTTCGAGAGCTTTCTTAAACTTATTCAATAATGGCAAATCTGCTACACTTAAGCACTGCCCATTAGGACTAGCTGGATCAAATACTTCCTCGTCTCCATCTTCATTAAGATATTGGTGGAGAGGATCGCTTCTGTCGCTAACTGATTGACCATGCACTCGTTTTTCTTCGATGGATGGTCGGTCTTTACTTGGAGTTCTTGACTTATCGTCAGCGCCGGTTGCTTTACTGAAAAGATCAAGAGTACTGTTGTGATCGCCACTAGTATCGGCTTCTAATAGGCTTGGCTGAAACAAAATGATTGATTTTGTTACGTGAAATATATAGAGAACTAAAATTTAAATTTACCTTATCAGAATTTTTCAACTCGTCAATACTAGATTTAGACTTGGGCTTGAACAACTTCAAAGTATCGTAAGAACTCGTGGCGTTCATCAACAAAGCAGAAACTTGCTCAAAATTGTCATTTTTATTTACATCATCGTTATTTTCCATCTTATTACTAATATCACTTTTGTTAGGGATACTTTTGGATGCCGAAAATTGTCTATCAAAATTTTGCTCATCTACTGTTATGACGCTCATAGTCTCTTCAAATGACGTTTTTGGCTTTTCTGGAATGTTTTGAATATTTTCACAATCGCCTACAAAAATGTTGTTAATAAACACGTTGATTTGATTTATCAATAAAATAACAGTCGTACTTTGGTTACTAGCTAAATCTTTGGTTTTATTAGGCGAACTGTTACGCGACGATTCATCAAGAAATGCATTATCTTTTGATGACGGTGGTTTTGCAAACTCATCCATCAAAAATGACTTTTCAAGACGACATGAATACGCTGCAAAGATCATCATCGACGCAACATTCTTAACTTTCTTCAGTTTGCTTTGCGAGCCTCCACGTAACAGTACAGTTGCTCCAAGATGGGGATGAGCGCAGCCTTCGAAGTACATCAACGTTTTGACACCAGCTGTAAATTAATAATAATATTGTTTCGATCGACTATAACTTTTAAGCAAGCTTGACTTACTTTTTTCACTAGGAAAGTTTCTTAAATAGAACTTTTTACAAATTCCAAGTTTGTATCTGGCAGACATATGTGCATCAATAGTATCTACAATGTGTGCGCCAGTGCATCTTGCTAGCCTTTCAAGAATACTGAGTTTCACGTTCAAAACTAATGTCACGTTACACTCTCTTAATCTATCCTGTGCCAGTCTGGCCACAGATTTATGTACAAGGACAATGTCGGGGCCTAGTGCATTTATCCTTGCAACCGTGTGTCCTAAATACTCACTTTCCTGTTGAACAAAGATTTTTTAACATACTAGTAACAACAACGTTTAGCATTTTTTACCTGCATCAAAACTGGCTCTAAACTCAACAACCTTCCTTCGACTCTTTGATAGGTGAGACCACAGCGAAGTAGCAGAATTTTCGGGTTAGCAATCATTGCATCCATTCCTTTGTGTGCAACGTTCTTACTACATACAATACCGGATACGATTTCGCAGTCATTCTTGCTACCTCCCGGAGACTTTTTAATTTGCACGTACTGTCTGATGTCCATATCATCGGTGTCGTGATGTAAATCAGGTCTCACACGGTCGACTACTTGATGAGCTATCTGGAGGATTATTTCTGACCAATTTTGAGATAAACCCTCCTTGTTCAATAATTGTCGAAGAAGATACTCTTCGTGCTGTTTATAAGACGATCTGAAAGTTTTGATCAGTGACTTGTAAGAGAAAAATAAAAACAAATGCAAAATCTACATTGTTAGTTCAACTCACGTTAAACTGGCATAAACGCTCGATTCATTATAAGTATTTTTCAAATTAGCAGTTTGATGCCATCCTTCTTTCTCTTTAATATCTTGAACTAATAGTGTGTCATTAAGAAGATCCTCTGGAATTTTTGAATTATTGTCTTGCGATTGAAAATTTATTTCCTTTTGCTCGAAAATTCCGTCGCTACTATCAGTTGCTACTGATAACATGTCATCTGAAGTTGGTCTCTTTAAAGTGACCGTCGAAGCTTCGACGTTTAGATCCAAATAAAAGCTTGAACTGGATGATGGTATTCTCCCTTGCGAGATTTGTGGAAATTGTTTAGACTCATTTTCTGAATCTTCTAAGATAAAATTAAGAACTCGAACGTTGTTCAAAATAATGTATGTAAAACGTTTCAAAAACAATGTATGTAAAGTTTACCAGTATTTGCATCATATTGAGGAATGGTTTTAACCCATGCAGGTTCCTGAGCATCGCAAGGCGTTTGATTTTCAATTAAAATATCTTTACTATGTACTCGCGAGAGTTTGGCTGGCTTGAAAAGTGCAGGCGAATCGCTAAAGCAATTATCCATTAATACAGGTTTAACGAATCCTGCCTCAAAAAGTGCTTGACCTATTGCAGTTGCTTGAATTCTGTAACCATTTGTGGATTAATTAGAACTCATTATTAATTATTGTAGAAAGTTCAAGGAAGTAATTTACCTTGTTGCTGCTTTATTATGAGCTAGAAGCCAGTCAACTAGTTCAGTTGCAACAAAACAGTGATTATAACGGTTCAATCGAATTCTATGAGTTTGTAAAAGAATTGCTGTGTTGGATCTAAACACTTCTTCATAAAGCATTCGTAAAGATGCCGAATTTTGTAGTGCTAACGTTCGCTCCTGTGACGTTAAATAATTATACGGTGACCTAAATATAAAATGAAGTTTTAGTAATTAATTATCAACATTTACAATAAGGATATACGAAAAATAACAAACCGTCTAAAGGCATATTTTTCTTCCATATAACCAACACTTGTTTTCCGTCGAACATTCATTTCATCTTCTGTATTTTGATTGGCATTGGATTTTTGTAATGGTGGTAAAGTATTATTACCATATTTTTCTTCTAAATCTTCTTGTAGAGCTTTCAAGTCAGCAGACAGATCACTTCTCATATCTGATGATTGTAGGTATGACAAAACAACCTTGCAGCAATACGTGCAAACTCTCAAGTCACCTGTTCAAATGTTCAATGAATGCTTTTATAACTAAGATGAAATACTTTACTTAATAACTATATTTACTTAGATTACATTGCATTCATTGAAAGTTGAATTCAAGATCATTACCTGTACAACCCATAATTTTGCCTGGGATTTCATCACAACAGCATTTTGCACAAAAAATCTGACCACAGACTCGACAATGATGTCTTCTCCTAAATGTTGTAAACCTTTCTCCACATTCATAGCATTGTTTACTAACACTGTCAGGCATCCAATAACTTCTTAGTTCTGAATTCTTGTATGATTGTAGACTCTACAAAAATAGATGAAAAAATTTATAAATAATCAAATCTGAGTTCATGAAGATATGATTTTTTAACAAACTCTATACAGTGTTTTTTGAAGCTACAATGTTGCTAATGCGTTTCAAAACATTTGGTAAACTTCTGCCTTCTTCAACAGAGAAACTTAACAAGCTGGCAGTATCTTGGGAAGGAGATTTTTCTGCACTTTTTGATTGTTGCCATGAATCAGATTCTGTTGTTGAACCTTCATCTTTGGTAGTCGTACTTGCTGTATTGCTTGTCAAAGAACCTTTAAAATGATAAGAGTTTTGTCATACAACTTAAATCATATTCGCAGAATGAAAAATATGAAAATATACTTAAAGATAAGTTGTAGATATAACCTATGACATTTATTCAATTCAGATATGAACTTTACTACAGTGTTAATGTTGATGACATAAGTTATTACATTTGCAGAAAATATTGAATGTAAATGTTACTGATAAATATATCATATATCTACCTTTAGTGAAACTAAAGATCTTGGAAAATATTGAAGCGACGACAGGCGGATTTTCCTCTGGACTTAATGGAGCGAACTCAGTAAGTTTATTCGGTGAATTCAAGTTTTTATTCATCTCGACTTTTTCTTATTTTGTGCTATGTACTACACTGCTATCTTTTCCTAATTTCCATAGCCGTTGCCCCCTACGTACAATATAACATTCATAGTTTCAGAGCAAGGTTATTATTACACATATGACAATACGCAATCCGCTATCTCTTTATACCAAACAATCAGCTGATCAGATGATCTGCTGCTGATCTGAGAATCCTATTATGCCTAGACAAGGAGATGTTATGGTTAGACGTAATAATGTTTAAAATACTGTCGCGTTGGTAAAAGTTGGATCTTAGTCAGGAGTTAAACGAAGGTTGGTTAAAGGGATAGCGCCTTTATTATATGTAGTGTGTTTAGGTAGATAACTTAGTTCCTTATCTTGTTAGGACTGGGCTTCAGAAGAGATTTTATGAAACAGTCTCAGGTGTTTGCACTTGATTAAGATTTATTGTTGAAAGACAAGCTTATAATGCTTAGCAGAGTATAATTCCGATTCTGAGTAGCCAGATAGCGAAACTTAGAAATAATACAATAACTAAATTACTGAGTTACTACGCTTTTACTGAGTGAGAATCAGTATGAGTACGAGTATGAGTATTAGCTGGAGTATGAGCTATCGTGGAGCCTTTTTATACCATAGGCTGATGTGCCCCTTTTCTTGTTTTTGCAAAATTAATATGCGGTGAGTAATATTCACGGAAATTTTATGGAGAACATACTTAGTCTAATCTATCTCGCTAGATATAGATTTACAAATGTTCCCGGGAGAGTTGATACGATAGGAAGTTAAATTACCGATACCCAATTAGTTATCATAACCCGTCATGTGTGTTTTCGATGATATATATATATATATATTATATGGTGATTAGCAAATGTGTAACCTGTTTTATCGACTAACTGCCGCATATTATTAATCTTTACATTTTCCACCATTTTTGGATAGAAAATCGACAAAAGGGAAATTGTTTCATGTTTGGTCTCATGTTTGGTGGGCAGTGTGCCAGAAACGTCTAAGTTTTGAAAAGATAAACCGCACATCGCTGGCACACTGCCCGCCAAACATGGGCGTTGCAATGCTTCAGGCCCTCGCCACATATGCACATATGCGCGCGTACGAGGGCGTACAAAAGCGTACAAATTGCTAAAAATTTTGATAGTGCCAACAACAGAAAGTTACTACTATTTCTCGCTTCAATAATATAGTGTTATGATGCGTTTGTTCCGGGAGTAAGTGTCTTCGTTTGGGGCATGCGAGGAATAGTAGTAACTTTCATATACGGCCCTGGCTGGAAATGGAATGCTGAAATATGAACTGACACTGTTTTCCCGCCACTCACGACACGAAAATTATTAATAATTTTAATTTGAAAATTATGTAACGAATAGGAAATGCGATTTGAGGAGCTATCGAGGGAAATTAAAACCTTAATTTTGAGCTATCAAACACAACAATTCAGCAATAATTATTAGAGTAAATGAGCCTGTTCATGTACCGAGGAAAATCGCGATTTTCACGCATTTTCCGTTGACGAATCGAAATGGGAAATTATCATCGATATCAGGGACAATTAGAGCAATTAATACCGTTGTCAAAATTATTTGAACAATTTCCCTTACAATCGAGGGGGCTACCTTCACAGTCCTGTGAGAAAATGGGTGGACCACGAGATCTCCACATGTACTTTGAAATTGCTGTTCTAAAAAAGCTATTAGTAGTTTGATTCAGCTGTTTATATGAAATATTCTTTATTTCTGACCAAATGAAATAATTTACATATTACATTGATATTAAAATTAGTTGATCAATCGTTTAATTCGAGTAGACGTGGCGAACAGACCTGTCGTGGAACGGGATCAGCACTAATTAAGGTCCCCGCATGTTTTTAATGCTACTATACACATCGACTGAGAAATAGGTTAGAGTTAGTTTGGAGTCAGGCTAGGGATGGAGACTAAATACTCCATGGGTTAGGGTATATAGTACAACGCTTAGTGTACTCAATATATAATCGTCTACTGGCTCTCACAATTTCACATAAAGAATCTTCAAATACATTTTTATTTTGTTTATCCACGCTATATTGTTCTAGACAGTATTGTCAGGGTTAGATTTATATTTTGAAGTTCATCTTGATCTCGTAATCTCCAGAATTGCATGAACACTTTTATGTAGTATAAATGCAAAATTCAAGTTTTTGATTTAGTTATTTATATTAGATCAATTTTTATACATTTGTTATATCAAGCAGTGAAAATGTTGAGTATGTTAAGATATTGCAAGAGCAGAATAGCATTTTCTGTTCAGACAAAAATTATCCCTCGGAAGTATATGACAGTTTCAGAAAAAGTGGAAATGTTATTGAAGCAACGAGATCATGTTCCACACACTTACAAACTCATATATAGAGATCTAAATCATACATTTGTAGGATTTTCATACCATGGACTGAATTTTTTAACTTATATAACATTAACTTCATTGGCATACATGTGGTACAATGATATACCTATGCAAAAAAATTCACATCATTTTGCATTATCCAAGACTCCTATTGAACAAGTTATTGTATCTATTGGTATATGTAGCCTTGTTTATATATCATACTGGCTTCGCCAAAGATTTGTTCTTAGACTCTATTTCAGTGAGAAAGCACAAAACTATAAAATGATTTTTATTGGCCGAGTCCCATTTAGTTATGAACACATGGAATTTCCTGCAAAATCTGTAATATTTGCAACACCAAAAGATTCAGCATTTCCATGGAGAAATACAATATTCAAAATAAACAATCGTAAAGTATATTTATTTGAAGATAACTTTAGAACATATTCTGACTTCTTACATATGCTTAAACCTGGAGAGGAATGTACCTTAGAATAATTATTTATATGCAGTATCTAAATGTTTACATATAAATTGTATTTTGTGAATTATTTAAATAAATCAAACCTCTCATAATTTGATATGTAAGTTATATTATTAAAATCCTAACAATAGCAATGAAAAATTGTAATATTTTTAAATAAAGAAGTTATCTCCTTATCTAATGTCTTAAAATGCATCTAATTTCTTTCTAAGAAGTAGAACATACAATATTTTGAAACACATTGAATTTTAGTTATATATATACTACTATCCATTCCTATGCTATCTTAAAAAAGAGGTTTCAACTTATTATTTTACAGAGTAGTTGAATGAATATATAGTTAATATGAAAAAATATGGTAACATAGTATAGTTGATAGTTTTGTCAATTTTTTATAAAAGAATTTACATTAATAGTTATCAAATATTAAAAGGTAATATAAAAAGAACGAATTAACTCGATTCAGTAAGATTTATGAAGCTGACGCCCAAAAAATTTTTTTTTAAATATTTTTGAGTTTTCATGAGCAAAGCACTTTCTCCCTATTTCCGGATTAAGTCTCCGCTTAAAATTTTATTTCCGGATTTTCCGTTTTTAAGAGAATTGCGAAAAAATATCGGGCGTTTGAACAGCGCGCAATATGCATTGAACATTTTTTTCCTGTTTAAAAAGAAATAATATCGATAGAGGATGATAGCTCCTTATTCCCGGATTACGAAACAATTTTCCTTTTGTCGATTTTCTATCCAAAATTGAGAAAAATGTCAAGATTATAGTAATATGCGGCAGTTAGTCGATAAAACAGGTCCAACATTTGCTAATCACCAGATATCCCTATGAGTTCTACAATGCGTACAGTGCTAAAATTATTTTTCACTATACTCATGAACAAAAATCGATAAACCAATATATCAGATCTAGATTAATTATTTTTGCTTATAATATTAGATAAAATTACATAAAAATAGACGCTGCTTTACTTGTAAATATACTATGCATTTTGCATAATGATTTAGATGTATTACATATTTCTTTTTAAACAGGAGAAAAATTTTCAATGAATATTGTGCGTTGTCCCAACGCTCGTTTTTTTTTCGCAATTCTCTTAAAAACAGAAAATCCGGAAATAAAATTTCAAGCGGAAACTTAATCCGGAAATAGGGAGAAAACGTTTTAACTCGTGAAAACTCAAAAATTTTTTGGGCGTCAGCTTCACAGGTCTGTTTCGATAGTGTTGACAATCCGTTGTCAAGTTCAGATGTATTATGAACGTTTGTCAACGTTCGTATTCACTTTAATTTTCGAATATAAAGTTAAGCATCTATATTTATATTGTTTTGTTGCCAGTATCCACCCACTACATATTTAAATACTTCGTATTGTCATGTATTTGGTATAATATAACCTTTTGATTAAATAATTTAGTTGATGAATCAAAAATTTTCACAATTGTACAATGGAGGATATGCCAGATAGAGTATATTATGTGTACAGCTGTACAGTAGAATCTAAAATTCAGGTAAAAATAGGAGCATTGGAAGGGAAAAAATGTAGACCAGAGTATGACAAATTATTAGATGACCCGTTGTTGAAGTACTCTGGTTTATTTGGCTCTGGATGTGGAAAAGGAGATTTATTAGCTTCTCTTCAAGTATTTGCAAATGGGAAAGCTATTGGTTTACCAGTTTCTACTTCGTACAAACATTTTACATCAAGATGGAACTGGAATCAGTGGATTACATTACCAATTGCTTTCTGTGATTTACCTCGTAATGCACAATTATGCATAACATTATATGATTGTGCTGGACCTGCAAGACTTATACCAGTTGGTGGAACAACCATTTCTCTTTTTGGTAAATATGGTGTTTTTCGTCAAGGTATGATAGATTTGAGAGTTTGGCCTGGAGTAGTAGCAGATTGCAATTTTCCAACAACTACTCCAGGTAAAGCAAGAGATTGTGGAAAAGAGCAAATGCAACGATTAGCAAAATTGGCTAAAAAGCATCGCAATGGTCAGATAAATAAAGTTGACTGGCTTGACAGATTAACTTTTCGTGAAATCGAACATATTAATGAAAAAGAAAAAAGAGCTTCTGAATATTTATATTTAATGCTAGAATTTCCAGATACTAATATTGACGGAATACCTTATTCAATTATTTATTACGAAAACGACGGAGATGATGTGGTACAGCATAGAACTCAAGCAGATATTGTTACTCTTCCTGATTATGAAATTTTGCAAGAAAATTTGGTCGAGGCCAAACATCACAAACTTGTTAGGAGTTTAAGAAGTGGAGGAAATAATAAAGAATTGAAACCAACTTCTAATGTTCGTGATGCTTTAAATACAATACTTTCGTATCCACCAACAAAGGCTTTATCTACAGAAGAGCAAGATCTTATATGGAAATTTAGATTTTATTTGTCTACTCAAAAAAAAGCTCTCACTAAATTTGTAAAATGTGTTAATTGGCGAGACCCTAGTGAAGAACGTCAAGCTTTAGAAATGCTTTCATCATGGGCTCCTCCTGATCCAGAAGATGCACTTGAATTACTTGGTCCAGCATTTACACATCAAGCTGTGAGAAAATATGCAATCAGTCGCTTAAATCAAGCACCAGATGATGACTTGATGCTTTATTTGCTTCAATTAGTACAAGCATTGAAATATGAAGATTTTGAGAGCACAAAAGCAGCTAGTGAAGTTTTTAGTAGTAAGCGTTTATTAGGTGAAACTAATGATCAAGAATTCAAAAATAATAATGATTTATTTTCATCTAAAAACAATACTATTTCAATAGAATGCAAAAATGATTGTTTCTTAAATCCAAGTGCTCAGAATAACTTAGCTAGCTTTCTCATTACACGTGCTTGTCAAAATTCAACATTAGCTAATTATCTTTACTGGTACCTTTCAATTGAATGTGAAGACCAACCAGATCCAATAATTAGTCTCAAACAAGATACACGTGTAAGAGAAATGTATGTTTCTGTTATGAAAATGTTCACCAATGCTCTTTCATTTGGAAACAGTGTTTGGCAAAAGAGAAAAGCTTTTTTGGATAAGCAGAAGGTATTTGTGGATCAATTAGTTTCTTTAGTCAAGACAGTAGCACGAGAAAGTGGCAATCGTAAAAGAAAAATAGAAAGATTACGTGCATTGTTAGCAGATGATGATGCATTATTCAAAGTTAACTTTTCCAATTTTGAACCTATACCATTCCCTCTTGATCCTGATATTTGCATAAAAGCCATAAAACCTGAAAAAGCTACCCTTTTCAAATCAGCATTGATGCCATCAAAGTTAACATTCCTCACAACAGCCAATACAGAATATATTGCTATTTTTAAAAATGGTGATGATTTAAGACAAGATCAATTGATTTTACAAACAATTGCTTTAATGGATAAGTTGCTGAGGCGAGAAAATTTAGATTTAAAATTGAGTCCCTATAGGGTACTTGCTACAAGTACAAAGCATGGATTTTTACAGTTTATTGAATCAACAACAGTAGCTGAAGTTTTAGCTAATGAAGGATCAATTCTTAATTTCTTCCGTAAACATCATCCTTCAGAAACTGGACCATATGGTGTGGCATCTGAAATAATGGATACATACATCAGAAGCTGTGCTGGTTACTGTATTATAACATATGTACTCGGAGTTGGCGATCGACATCTTGATAATTTACTTCTTACAACCTCAGGCAAATTATTTCATATTGACTTTGGTTACATCTTAGGTAGAGATCCGAAACCACTACCACCACCAATGAAACTAAGTAAAGAAATGGTTGAAGCTATGGGAGGAGTTGGATCTGATCATTATCATGAATTTAGGAAACAATGCTACACAGCGTTTCTGCATTTGCGTCGGCATGCAAACCTAATATTAAATTTATTCTCGCTGATGGTAGATGCAAGTGTTCCAGATATAGCATTAGAACCTGATAAAGCTGTCAAAAAGGTACAGGATAAGTTGCGATTAGATTTGAGCGACGAAGAAGCTGTTCATTATGTACAAAATCTCCTTGATTTATCAGTGACTGCTGTTATGGCAGCACTAGTTGAACAATTTCACAAATTTGCACAATATTGGCGAAAATAAAGTGTTTTTATTTTCAAAATTGTATTAAATTTGTTTCAATGTAGCAACAATTTTGCCAATTTTGTGGATAATGATTACGACATATTTTAGGTATTTGCATAAAAAAATATAAATAATCCAACCTTATTGTTTTATAGTTTTTAATATATTTTATAATACGACATATTGTTCACAACGTTTATCAATAAATATTGTATATGTAACATAAGCAAGGAAAAATAAATTATATATTTTTGACAAAACAAATATTGTTTATTTTAACCTGACCTGTATATTGAAGTATTTTTATAATATGCTACAATGGATTATTACTTTATATTGTTAAAAAGAATGGAAGTAAAATTAAGTTTGTTATTAAATAACTCAACAAATATAAAACTAAGCTATAAGTTTTTGATCAATGATTGTTTTTTTCAATTTTAACTAGTCAATTCAATTTTTTTATTACTTTGTTCAGAATTATGTTATTTTATATAGTTAAAATATTAATTATAAAATTGACATATTGACAAACTTGTAGAAAACCTTAGAAAAAATTATTTATGTATATGTACATAAAATGTGAATAGTTAATTGAATAGAATTTGAATTACTTTATAATTATAAAATAAATACTCATTTATAAAATTATTTATTTAACTCCAGTATTCTTCTGAGCGCCCGAACTTGTATGTCAGAGATCCTAGGAAAATGAATACATTTTGTAAGAACAAACTAACTCCAGGCCATTGTGGTCCATCTGTAACATAAAAATCATTCATATTCAATGTTCGATAATAAAAAGATAATAGTGTGTTTTAGATAACAAGATTAAAAAATTTTTCACCTGTAGCAACAAAATCAGCAAATAAAATCCAACAAGCAGCAATCACTGCTGCGAATCCCATCATAAATCCAATAAACAACCATCCTTTAGCTCCTCTAGGGCCCAAGCATCCTCCATTGTAAGCATCACCACGTATTTGGGCATTCGTCACAGAATTGACCCTAAATTTTTATAAAATAAATAAATAACACATAATAATGTTTATGAGAGATTCTTGATAATAAATCTGTTATACGCACATCAATAAAGATAATGTGCCAAAAATACCACAAACATGGTAAGCACCTGCCATATAATTTGGATATTTGGCATGAGCATCAATGATGAACCACCATCCTAAGAAAAACTATAGAAAAAAATTGTACCATTAAAATTACAATAGGATAACTTATCTTTTGAAATTAATGAATATTTTAATAAAATATTTTAAAATATGTCATTTACAGAAGTAAATTGAAATAAAATATAAGAAATTTGAAGCATTTAAACTTTCTACTTAAAATTGTATAAGTTATCAACAAAGAAGCACTATTTCAAACATGACAATACTATTTGTTATCAAAATGAAGTTTAACAATTAAAATGACACATTTGCAAATAAAAAAAGCTCTTAATACCTACCAGTGTTCCAGCAAGCATTGAAGCCAACACATTTCGTTTTTCTCCATTTTCAAACCATATGCAAGTTGGAATTTGTATATTTTCTAAACAATTAGCCATTTTATATGTATGAATAAATACTTAATTTAATCAATATACATAGAAAAATTGAAATAAAAATTGTCAACAAGTGATGAACTACAGCAGTTACTTTAGCCAGTGATAATTTACATGAATAGACATGAACTTGCGATGATAATAGATCATGTGGTCCTGAACAACACCAGATAGCAGGTATGCAGAGGACTCTTGTGGTAGAAATTTAAAAGTGAAAAGTAATATCTAAATATTATGTATTATATTTAACGTAAGTTTAAGCTGTATAGTTCATCTGCAAACAAACCAGGTATTATATACACTTATCTAAAATTATATAACTTATTTTTGTTCACTCAGTTGTATAGTACATATATTGAATTTTAGTACCATACTATTATAGGTTAAATGAGCGTCTTGGTTTTGACTTTGAGTCTGCACTCTGCACTCTGCTCAACTTGCATTGTTTGCGAATTACGTTTGCATTGTTGATTGTTTACTCGAATTCTCACAAGTGTATACATATATACATACATATATAGAGTAGTATACATGCTGTTTTTCACATGTTGCTTTTTTGTTATTAAACTACAAATAAATTAACAAAAGTGAATTTATCAAATTATACATGAATTTTTTATGACGAAAGATGAAAGATATAATTGATATAGGATTTGCAGAAGAGTGTGAGCCTTGGCGTTTGGAAAGTCGTTTTTTTCCTAGTAAAATCGGTGGTAAACCAGCTTGGTTAGATTTACAAAACATTCCTAATACAGAACAGTTACAGTGCAATTATTGTAAAAATCCTTGCATATTTTTGTGTCAAATTTATGCACCTTACGAGGAAGATCCTAAGGCGTTTCATAGAACAATTTATGTATTTATTTGTAAGAATCCAGATTGCTGTAAAGAAAATTCTAATGGAAATATAAAAGTTTTAAGATCACAGTTGCAAAGATCTAATAAATTTTATCCACCTGATCCACCGATTGAAGAAAAAAATTGGAGAACTGATATAAGTAGGTTATATTGATAATTGATTTTGAATATTAACTACATTCATTAATTTAATTTTCTACAGTTTGTGATAAATGGTCCAAAAATTGTACAATATGTGGGATATATTCATCTAGTCACTGTGGGAAATGTAAAAAAGTTAATTATTGCTGTCGCATGCATCAAATCTTAGACTGGAAAAATGGTCACAAAGATGTTTGTGGTAGTGAAAACTCTACAATTTATTCACAATTTTTATTTCCAGAATATGAGCTTGTCATAGAAAGAGAACGATATGAACCAGAAAATAAAACAGATACTTCTGAACAAGAAATGAAAACATTTCAGAATCTTATAGAATCTGGACAAGCTGGTTCTCTTCAAACAGAAAAAAATGTTGATAGTGATTTATTACAAATGGCTAGTGAAATAGAAGACAAAACCTTTCTGAAATTTCAAAAGAGAGTCAAAAGTGAACCTGATCAAGTAATAAGGTATGTAAAATACTTATTTTCAAGCAAAATAACTATATTTAAAAATTTTAATAACATTTGAAACATAAAACTAGATATAATAGAGGTGGAAGTCCATTATATATTTCATCAAGTCATCAACCTGCTGAGATTCCAAACTGTGAGATTTGTGGAGAAATAAGACAATTTGAATTCCAAGTAATGCCCCAACTTATTAATTATTTAAAATTAGAAGATGTATTAAATAGTATTGACTGGGGTATTCTAGCAATATATACTTGCAAAAATTCTTGCATCCCACAATCAAAATATGTAAAAGAATTTGCATGGAAGCAGGACATAACAAAAGAAATAATAACCCAATAACTTAACCCAATAAAATGTAAGTAAACAAAACAAGTTTGTTCAACTTGTTTCGTTAAAAATTTTTATTCATACACAAAAATTATTATACAAAATCTGATGGTTTAAAAAATGAAAAAAATCCATAACATTTCTAATACTATAGAATAATTTAACAATATAATAATAATATATAACAAATTATAAAAAATCATCAACATAATTATTTCATTATCAAAATTGGCAAAAAATAACAAATAATTTTTAAATTTTAGCACTTTTGCCTTCAACATTTGATATTGCATTATAAAAATATTTATTAGTATTTTTGAAGCAGCCACACACTCTACTGCGAAAATCAGAGATTAGGGGAGTCATATAGATCACGAATGTAAAAAATGAAATTTACTTTAGTATTGACTGTCTATATAACGGTATTTAAATAGTATCTTAAACATGTATCTATATTAAAAAATTTCTTGTAAACTGAAGTAGATTTTTGAAGCTTTATTTTTATTACCTTAACGCTTTCATTTGTATATTTACATTGGAATCTTCTCATGTTATTTTGCAATTCAAAACTTATTTAACTACGTTTATCAACACTGATATGATACGCGATAGTAGTGCATTTCCAAACAAGTCCAGAGAATCAATATCAATAATGAAGAAATAACAAATGTGCTCTTTCTGAATATGTTATCAAATCACTTCGGACGCTATCCTTTTTCAGAGATTATAATATTGCTACTGTATCCTTCGTATTCTTAATACCACTTGTACGATTTGGAAACTATTTACCTATTGACTTACTCGTATATTTATTAAAACTTTTATATTATTAGTCCATAATTAAAATGCTTCTCAAAGTAGCCATAATCATTTTTGTGATAATCACGATTGAGTGCAGATAATCGTACGTCATAAAAGGACCCGCAAGCTGGATTGCTAATGAATAAACTTGTGGTATGAAAACATTTATACACCTTATACAACTTCAATATCAGTACTTTGAATTCAAAAGAAGTTAGGTATGACGATTTTAACTCATTTTCATCGGTCATAGAGTTTACACAAAGCTATATATCGAAAGTTGCAGTTGCAAACGAAGTCGCACCTCGCAAATAGGTGCTAAAAGAATTTTTTTTAATATTATAAATGTGCGAATCTTCATCAGAACGCTTTAATAAACAAAAAGTTTAAGCCCATGTGCATTTATAATCTTACGAACAAGAGGTTTATCCTCTGTGACTATAGGTAGTTTTTCCGGATGAATATACTGCTATAACAATCTGTTAACTATTGAATTTATAATAAATAAATGTGTTTTGATATAAATAAAAACTAACAAGTATTAATTAAAAATATTATGTTATTTACAATCAGTTGCATGATAAGCTGATCATATCAAACTATTAAAACTCATATTAACGGTGTTAAAATTATCAAACCATTGATTAATTAATTAAACGATTAAATCAAGTGATTAATTTATAAATGTTAAAATAGAATCAAAGAATAATTTCAATACTTTTCACGTATGCTTTGGGCCAAACGCAACTCTATGCTACCCATGTCCCTGCGTAAATGTAATTTTGCAATTTAATATTGAATTTTTTCTATGCACATATATTTCGATAGTCATACTGTACGCAACAGTTGGTACAGTCTATATTTTACAAACACTGAACGTATGAAGATTAAAACAGTTTTTGGAATTTTATCCGTCTCAACATATTAATTGAAAAGCAGAACTTTTTGTGACTCATATCGTTAAATGATCTTGTATGTATGTACCAATAAAACGAATTCACATCTTGTTTTAAACTGCATTTCTTAATATATCGTTTGTCTAGCTTTCTTTCTATATTATGCACGATTGTCTGCACTCAATCCTGATTGTTACGAAAATGAAAACAGCGCTATTTGAAGAAGCATTTCGATATGGACTGTAATTATACAAGATTTTTAATAAATACTAGTACGTGTTATTTAGTGCTCTTTCTTTTATGTTTTTCTGTTATTTATTACAATATTAGAATGATTTACATTACAACTTTGAAACTCTAATAGTACATACACATTTGTGAATAAATTGTACCGTTTGAAATATACTATATCCATTGAGATTCATTGATGAATACAAATATAATTTGTACCAATTTTTTTTTCTTTACAAAAACCAATGAACTTAAATTTATTTTAAGATAAATCAGAAAAATTATCCAAAATATTAATTAAACCTATGATTGATAAAAATATACTAAGCTATATTATATATTATTATACAATGCTAAACCTTACATACTAATAGTAGTGGTTACGGCCCCAGTGTTATGTTAGTATAAGTAATATATTTAACATCGTCTATATTTTATTGCCTCGTTAAAAACGCCCATGAACATTCTTAAAATTTAACGGATTTAATATTTTAATAAGTTTCCGTTACCTACATACCTCTTAATTTACCATGTACAAAAGATAAAAATCTATTTTCCTTCATTTTATTATATTCACTTTTTCTCTCTTTCAACCAAATTTGAAGCAATATTAATTTTAGAATCATAATTGCTTATAAAATTATTGATTTGTACTGATAATTTCAAATATAACTTCTGATGTTCTTTATTAACGGCATATTCCTATTCTTGCAAAAAATGATCCATGTTATTCATAAATTGGATTTACTGCTGAAATATAGATCTTACACTCCTAGATATGATAGAAATATTTCAAAGTATAGGAAAATTCAAAATTTCGCGTTTTTTTTACATCAACTAATCGATAACGCTGGATATATCAGCGACTCGTCATTTTTTTAGAAAATATGAATAATTTAATCTAGATAAATGATTTTTCAAATGCAAAATATTGGTCGGGAAATAGTGTTTAATAATTATACTAAAATAAGTATATCAATCAAAAATCATTTTTGAATAATAATAAGAATAAGCCCACATTCATTAAAATGTCGTTTAATTTATTAAACACAAATAAGTTTAGAATAAAGGTATAGGAGATATAGAGATTATATAATAATCATAATGATGCATTTCTAGTATCATTAAAGGAAAATGATCAAAATATTGTGAAATTCAGAGTGGAAACAATCTTTGTTAATTGTCTACAATCGTGACAAACTAAAAAAATTACAAAATAAAAATTAAGAAAAACATGTTTTTTTACTTTCCAATCATTAAAGGCAGTTCAATGTAAATAAATGTTTATAATTCAATAAAAAAATATTAAAATTATTTTTAATTCAGTTTAGATCTCTCAACATTACAGTAACAATTCACACGACAGTAACTATATTAAAAGCACTTTGATGTAAATTCAACATTTTTTAGCACTCAAAATACAGTATTGTCTAAAACACCTAAGATGTTTTTTGTCAACAGCTTTTGTTAAATTTTGTGAAAGATCAATAGGATCTTGAATGCACATAGGAGAGTCAAATCGGAAAATTTTCTCCTTATTATCCTGTACATATCTTTTGTAGATGTCCATTTCTGGAGGAAGTTCATCAATATATGCAAACATATGCTTATCAATACTTTTGCCCAAATATGGGCACACAACACTTTTTTGGTAGTCAAAATTGGCAAAATAAGTGAAAAATCCTTTTAGGTGTTCTTTAATAGAAAGATTTGAACTTACATCTATAGTTATCTTTTCAAATCCACATTCCCAACCTTATTTAACAAATAAAAAATAAAGCATTTATTTACATCTCAGTCAACAAATTAATTATTGTTTTCCAAATAAATACTTACCATCCACAATCTTAGATACCCTTTTATTTTTTATTAATTCATACACTGAAGGCAAAATTCCTTGTAACTGAAAATAGAAAATGACATACCATGAAATAGCAAATGTTGTTATACAATCTGAGCCAAACAGTCGACAGAGGGTCAACCATTTTTTCATAAAAAGGATTGATTTTCGGCAACCAGGAAAGGCATCATTATAAATTCTGAAAATTCATTTTATGTAAATACCGAATATATGTATAATTTATATATTACATAATTTTTTAAGATATAGACTCACCTTAAAAGTTTTGATTTTTCAACGCTCAACCCATTAACAAAAGAAACATCGCATTTTAGATTTGAAGGTAAATGCCTTAACTTCAAGATAGGTATCCTGGTAGATATTAAAACTTCATCCACTTTCCAAATGTTTGGTGTTTTTTCAATACATTTGTGCATAGATTTTAAACATTCTAGATTCTGTTTTGTTGAACTTTTATAATATACATTATTACAGTCCAAAAAAATGTCTACATCACTATCTGGAAATCCTAAATTAGATAATCTTGAACCAAAAACATAAGCTTTAGCATCAGAATATATAGGTTTCACAGCTTCTAAAATAGCCTCCAGTAATGAATTTACTTTAGCATCTTTAACTAGATCTACTTTGTCGGACTCACTAATCAGAAAATCTACATTTTTATCTATATTATTAAGATATTCAGAAGCTGGAATATTCAAATTTGGAATCATGAAGTCATTTTTGTTTACAGAAATTTTATGAAAATCACTTTTGCAGTGGTCATTATAATAGTGATCTTCACCAAACCAAAATGTTGTACATGGATGACAAAGATCAAATTTTAAAATAGTTCCTTTTTGTTGGAAGTGAGCGACTTTTTTTATATGTGTACGATTAATTAAATGTATTACAAAACCTATTTCCAACTGAAATCTCTTATCACATATTACACAATAGAAAAATTCTGCATAGTACCAAATATCTTTATAAATTTTAAAATATTGATTAAATAATTGCTCTGACTCTTTTTTCCGAAGTATACTTTTTTCTTTATGAATCGATGTTTTGGTATGCTGTTTAATAATGTGATTATTATTTTCTATTTTAATATTACAAGCAAGGCACTTGATATATTTACATGATAATACACACATATGTAATTTGGCAAGCCTTAAACCACTATACTGTTTTGAATAATTTTCAGTGTCTTTGTCACCAGCTAGAATATTACCAATATTTTTCAGGTGTTCTTGATCTTGTAAGTGTTCGAACAAAATTTGTGTATCATTTGTAAATGGTTTCTCACATGGAATACAAACTCTTTTAAATTTGTTTGGAACTGTCAAAGTGACTCCTAATTTTATTAAGCTAATATTTTCATTATCAACATTAAATATGTTATTTTGACCTGGATTAATACAAAATTTTATAAAATTTTTACCATGTGCTAGGAGATTTGCAATATATGAATTTCCTTCATCTTCAGCTTTAGGTAAGCATGCTGACTGTAACTTGGGATTGGATGAAAATTTTTTAATTTTATTCAAATCGAGTGAAATCAAACTACCTAATAATTCATCTGTCATATCTGATTTAAGTATAGAAAGTGGTTGTTTATTGTCTGTAGTAAAACCAAATTGATCCAATTCATCAATATTAGCTTTCAATTTATTTGTATTTTCAATTGTTTTCACATTTTCAGTTTTAACATTGGGCAAATTTTGAAAAGTTGCACTCCTTTTGTGTAATTCATTAGCTATTTGAGTTAATACCGTAGTATTTAAATTTTCCAAATTACTTGATGGTAATAATAGTTTGTTTTTATGTTTTCTTCCCAACATGTGCTCAAAAAAAGATTTACAACCATGTATAGTTATTTTGCATGTTAAACACTGAAAAGCACATTTTTCATTTTGTTGTATCAGTTTGATTTGAGATATATTTATCATATTAAGAATTATAATTTTTAATTGATGTTCAAATTTTTGAAAATGTGTTAGCAAATTTGAACATTCTAAAAATGATTTATTACATATAAAACAAATATAATAATCTGAATTTTTCTCTGAAATAAATTCAGTTTTCTTTACTGTATATTTGTTTCTTGTTGCATCTTCTGACACTTTTTTAATATGACTTTTTTCTAAAGTATGACTTTCTTTATTTTCTATAGGTATTTGTACAAAACATAAATTACACAATAGTGTTAAAGAAATGTTCTCCTTTGGTTTATACATTTCTGGATTTATATCATTAAATTGCTCATTCATAGGTTTTTCTCGTAGACAAAACTTTTTATTAATGTTAACATAATTAAAAATAGTTAAACGATCAAGATGAAAATTTGTTTCAAGATGGTCAACTAAAACTTGATCAGCATCTTTAATGTGTAATTCACACAGAAAAGAATTACAAAGCAAGCATTCCAAGTGTAATTTTTCATTTGATTTTAATTCACATTTAATTAAATCAAAGTTTCTTAATGAATTAAATTCTTTATATAAATGTAATACAATATGACATTTAAGTCTTGTACTGTTATCTATAGAAACCTGACATATATTACAGTTGTATATTTCAGTAAATAGAGATGCATTTCCAACTGATTTTATTTTCACAGCGTTTTCAACTGATTTTGTTTTCACAGCATTTTCAGCATCTAATATTAATTGATGCAAAAATCCTTCAATGTGTTTAGTAACATTTGAAGTTTTAATAATTTTGCATTTGCAGATTGTACAATAGTATAACTTATATTTTTCATCGTAAATGATATAATTTGATTTTAAACTAAAATCAAGAACTCCTAAATGTGATTCTAAAGTTTGATAGAACAACTCATCAATAGGCTGAGATGTATCAGAAATAATTAAATTTTTCTTATTTATTTTATGACGATGACCATCAAGATGACTTATAGTATTTGATAAACCAGTAATTTTACAATCACAAATATGGCATCTTATAAAGTTAATGTTATTAATGTCAAAAGTAATCCAGTTTTCAAAAATTTTTATATTCTCTGATTCTGTAAATTCTAATAATATTTTTAATTCTTTTGCTTGTTGTTCTTCATCAATCTGATTTAATTTTCTTTTATGTTCGTCAGAAAGCAGATGTTCTTCAACAACATTAAAGTCACATTGTTTCATTATATGATGGCACAAACAACATATACAATCTTTTCCATTACGAATTATTCGATTTACCAAAAATTTTGAAAACATCTTTGATTATTAATTTCGATTGTTTCCTGAATATCAAAAAGACTATACCTTGAAATATAAAAAACTGTAATAAAAAATACGATAGTATATAGGTTATTAAATTACAATTTTTCATGAACAATTAATAAAACGCTATTTCAAAAACTTGTATTGTTTATAAACTGAATCGAAATACCTCATTGTTATCAAAATCTATGTGTTTTTCAACTGTTCTGCAACTCAGCTTAATGAAATAAATTTAAAACTATTCACTGCTAGAACTGAACACAGCACAAAGAAAAAGAACGGACGCCACATATACATCGGTCTGCTGTCTGCTACGATTCAACAATAGTCGACCCATTAATGCCAACAAGAATACTATACTTTGAAACTGCAACAAAATAATGCAAAACATAACTTAATGATCGTTAAATAGTCGTTAATTTCCAATTGATAATGTATTAATTTTATTTGTTAGAGATTTCAAGTTCACTTACAATTTTCAAGTACTGCTGACATGAAAAGTTTTTATTGAATAGATATTTATAATAATTAATTTTTTTTGTAAAGTAAAATTTTATTTATAAAATCTATTGTGTGTCAGTTAATATTGTTTAATTGAATTGCATTGACAATATTTCACACGTGGATGTGACAAAATACACAAAATTTATAAATGTTTTATAATTACCTTTTTATTGTAAGTATGTAAGTCTTCTAAATACAAAATATAATTCATTCAGAGAGAGAATTACGATAGTCAGCAAGGCTTCTACGGAGCCACTTTCGTGGCAGGAATCCTATAATATATATAGTATATCTAGAATGCGAACCCTGAATAATAAATCTATATTCACCTAGAACTTAAAGTGGAATTTTACCACCACAACCACGATGTTAATCTTGGCACGTATATACATTTAATTCTTTTAAAAAAAAAGCCATTTACCATCAATATTTTATCCACTAACAACGACTTTTATTAATTGTAGAACGTGCTAACTATATGATAAAAACATATATAATATGTGTAGTAAGACGATTGAATATACCAGACATACTTCTTTCAATAATTATTAGCGAAACATAGAAAGTTTTGATTAGATAAGTAACGTTTTTTTCAGTTTTAATAATTTTTATAAAAAGTAAAAATGGTATAAATTTAAAAAAAGTGCTTATAAAATACCTGACGTTTTTAAATCAACACAAAAAAGAATTTAAACGAAAGTTTGTTTATACTTTTTCATGCTATTATAACATCAAAATAATCCATTAAATCCCTTCGTAATAAAAAACAGTTTAAAGAAGCACATATAAAAACTTTTCTAGTATTAACATATACATGATCAATTGGTGAATAAAATACTATCATCATTAAAAGAAAATTTATTTCAAATTGTTTAACAGTCATTACAGTTTATCACACAAATTGATGTCATTTTTCAATTTTTGTTAATTCATAGAAATTCGTTAGGATACTCAAGTTTAAAAACTTCACGTTATAATACTAGATATTTTCAAGTGCTTTTTTGAGGCGTGTGCTCTTCGTAATTAATATAGCTATTTTGCTAACTTTTAACAAATTCTAAAATAAGTTAACAACGTGTATATGATTACATGTATTCGTCGATATTTTAGCCAGTTGTAAAAAAATAGCTAGTTTAAAATCAAATGTCCAATTTAAGGATATTTAATGATCTGAAGTGAAGGGGTGGGGGCACAGCGAAAGGCCCTATCCTATACCATGAAGATAAGCGGAAAGTGGGTGGTCCGTAATGCTGATGAGTTTCGCGATGTCTTAAAAGTTGTTATATTTAATCTATAGAATATTTGCCTATACTTAATCTATAGAACGACATTTGAATTTCAAAGATTTCTGTTAACTTTAACTATAATCACTGAACATCCTTAAAATAATTTTGCAGATCGATTTCTTTAAAACTGAGAAAACAGCAATCCCGAAATTGTATTAATTGGGCTTTTGTAACAGCTTTTGTTATATTTTGAGACAGTTCAACAGGATCTTGAATTGCTAATGGGGAATCATATCTGAAATGTTCCGTTTCTACCATTTTTATCCGTTCTTTATAATTGTTCATTTCTTGTGGCAATTTATTTATCTCAACAAATGCTTTTTTCTTCATGACTGTCCCAAGAAAAGGACAAGCAACTTCCTCACGATAATTGAATTTTGCATAGAAATTAAAAAATCCTCGTAGCATATTTAGAAGTATCGTCCTTATGTTAAATTCACTTTCAATGGTTTCCTTTGATATTGGAATATTGATATTGGAATATCCACATTCCCAACCTATTAAAATATAATTATTTTATTTAAAGAGTTTCTTTGTAATTCTTTATTTGAAAGGAAAAGAGTCATCTCTTACCATCTACAATGAATGATTCATTTTTCTGTCTAATCAACTGATATACACTTGGTAAATGACCTTCAACTTGCAAGTAAAAAATAGCAAACCAAGTTACTGCATATCCATTAATACAGTTAGATCCATACAATTTACAAGCTTTAAACCATGCTTTTAGGAAACATATGAAATAGCTAAATAAACCATCTACTATCACATAATTCCTGCAATAAAATAATTATTGCATAAAAATATATAAAAATATGGAATAGTTAAATGTGTATTTTTGTGAATACTAATATATTATATGTACCTTATTAATTTAGACTTTTCTACTCCCAAGCCATTTAAAAAAGAAATGTGGCATTTTAAAAGTGACGGTTTGTGTACCAATTTGATTATTGGAACTCTTGTTTCTAATAAAACTGTTTCAATTTTCCATATATTTTTTTCTTTTATTAAACATTTTTTGTAAATATTCTTTATAAATCGTTTACTTTTTTCTTGAGACCCAATCTCAGTGTAGTTATTTTCACATTCTAAGAATATATCAACATCACTCAAAGATGAACCAAGATATAAAAATCTTGAGCCAAACAAATAAGCTTTGACATTTGGATATACAACTTTTACTGTTTCTTCAATAAATTGAAGCAATAATTTATCTTTTTTTAGATTGAAAAAATATGATTTTATCATTAAATTATCCATTGTTTTATCAAAATTTCTAAGTAATCTTGAAGCTGATTTTCTCAGAAACAAGTGAAAATTATTTCTGAAACAGCCATGAACATTCTTTTTATAATGTTCAATGTAACTAGGTTCCCCATACCAGCAACTCGAACAAGTAAAACAAATGTTGATTTTACTACCTGATTTATTATTCTTTACTTTTTTCAGATGTTTTGGTTGATTAAGATGAACTGCAAAATTTATTTCTCTGTCGTAGTTTACATTACATACATTACAAAAAAACCTTTCTGTATAATACCAAATGTCTCTTATAATGTTTTTCCATATTTTATCAAGAGTATATTTTTTAGACATAACTAGATTCATTTTTACAATATGGTTTCTATTTTTTAAATGATTTTCAATATCGTAATCAGTATTATTGATATCTACCTCACAAGTGAAACATTTTAAATAACCTTCTAATTCATTATGTAGAGCAATAGAAGATTTCGCAAGAGTTATTAAGTTGAATTTAACATAAGACTTCAGAGCATTTGCTTCCATTTTACATAAATTTTCTAAATGTAATTCATCTTGTAAATGCTCAAATGTATATTTTAACGGAAGTTTATAACTACATGGAATGCAAACTCTGTAAGAGGGGAAAGTAAATATTAAAGAAATGCCCAAGTTAAATAGATGCAGTTCATTGCTATTTAATTTGTAGATGCTTGAGGTATTTTCTAAATTATTTTCAATGCACATAGAAATATATTGATTACCAAAGTTTTTTACATCTTCTTGATAGGCAATATTTTTTTTAATCTTATTTGACTGTATTGATGGATATACTTTTGGCTTTGGTTTCCAATCACCATGTATTGATAATCGTAAAAAAAACTTTGTATAATTAAAAGGCTGAATAAAATTATTAACAGAATCACTCATAACTAAATGATTATTGTCGAGTGCCCTTTTATGTTTCAAAGATTGGTAATGTTTCTGCATTAATTTTAAAGACTTAAATTTCTTATCACATGTCAAACAGATAAAAAACTGTAAAAGTTTCATCAACTGTGATACAATTACTGAAATATTCAATTTAATAAGTTTATTTTTTCCACTAGTTGCTTCATCTACATGTTCATTTGTGCTCCTAATCTGTAGATATTTTGTCTCTGGTTTATAATTAATTGACTTTAAACTTACTTTCTTCTTAATTGTTTGCTCTTCTACATCATCCCAATTAACTTTTTTATTCATACTGTATAAGAGATCTAATATTTGTATATGTTTTGGTGTTTCTATATGTTCTGCTAAAGTTTGATGATTCTTTACTGTTACATTACACAAAGAACACTTTAAAGAACGTTTGTTATCAACAACAGAGTATTGAAAAATATCTTGATGTGATTTTGGCAAAATCTCATATAAATGGAATAAGCAGTGACATTGTATCAATATTGAATCAATTTTTATATTCTCATCACACTTTGAGCACCAAAAGTATTGATTATATTCATTCAAAATATCTACATTTTTTTGAATTCGGTCGTACCTATTTTTACAATATGATTTCATATTGTAATTTTGCTTATGAAAATTTTGAGTTATATGGATGTATGCTTCATCTATTCCAAGAATAGAACATTTGCATAAATTGCAGAAATAAAAATTTGTGCAATCAATCCAAGTTACTGCATTCTTGTTTAGTAATGGAAAATTGAATATTTGATTCAAACTCAAATGACCGTCCTGGTCCATCTTTATCTCTGTGTTTTTTATTGTATTTATTTCAGTAATCTCTCCATCTTTGTCTGTTAAATTGTTTGAAGAATCTTTCTTTTCATTAATTTTTTTCAAGCATTGAATTTGTGCCCGATTCACATCTGTTTCCTGATAAACTTGGTCAGCCAACTTTGTAGATTCACTCATTTCTGTTATCAATAGAATTTACATACACTTTCTGAAGTATCTAAAATAACTTTCTCATTCTTGTAGTTCCTATATCATAAACATCAAAATTATTATAGATTATTATTACTAATCATATTTTCAAACCTTTATATGGGTTTTAATTTCAACAATTACATTGGTTAAAAAATAAGTAAGGAATTCAACATTAGTGTTAAAAATTGGCCTTAGACTTTTTTCATTTATGAATTTTATAAAATTCAAGATTATTTAACTTCATAAAAACAAACAATTATTTGAATATTTGAGAATCGTACTATCCGCTGATACATGCGCAATCGTCAATTGTTAGATAAAATTTTTGTACGAAACGGCAATGCACGCCGTTGATACAATTATCAGTATAAAGTTTTCCAAAGAGGTAACTTACACTTTCATCAATCTTTTATATACTTCTTTATTCTTTATTATTGTTATTTACGTTACTGTAATATAACCTCTAGAAATAATTTCTGGAATAAATATCGTTGTAAAAACACTAATAATAATAATAATAATAATAGCAACCTAAAAAGTCCAATTAACAATCAACACCATTAGTTAACTAGTATGAGCGGTCATTTGTTATGGTTTTGTGTCTAGTTTTGTTTCTTTATGTCTACAGTACTAGAAACGTTTCACAGTTATAATTTATAACCTACCAGCTGTAACTGTCGACAGTGTCGACTAATTTCTTATCGAATGAGCAAAACGATATGATAATAAAGAGCTATCGAATGTTTTTTAATTTTTTAAGCATATCAACGATAGATTATTATTATAGATTAAACAATAAAAATGGCGAAGCAAGTAATATCAGGTGATACCGATGAATCCATTAAAATTATTTATAAAGAGAAAAGACTTAAACAAGCCATTATTGCTCATCCTTCGTATACTTATATAGTAATTAACCGCTACGTAATGTGATAACAATTTTCTGTTCACGCGCTATTGTAATCATTATTTTGCATATTAAATTTCTTCATCGGAGTAAGAGAATAATTCATAACTTGTTTTTAAATTATATCATAATATGTGCATTTATACATATGTATGTAAACACAGTACATTATCGTACACAGAGAAATTTCGATATTATTATTATTTATAAGCTAACATTTCAATAGTATCACGTTCACATAGTTTATTTACCCGAATATTACAAAAAATGTATCAGGAAACTTGATTCATAAAAAATCTATGGTTTTATCGCAAAAATCTAAATCATTTATGTATATCACTATTTTCGATAAATGTTTATAAACCTCGCAGGCAATACAAATTAAAAGAAAATAATAATGACAATGATAAATTCTTAAACACTCAAGAAAGTATTAATATAAAAATCGATTCTCAAGCAAATAGAGCAAAGCTCCATCGACACAAAAGCGGATAGGCAAGCAGGTGAGCAACTTGTGTTGGTATGTACGCATACAATCGCTAAGGTGGGGGGTAGAGAAGGGGTAACAAGTAAGTATTAGGAGTAGAGGGGCAGCCGCCGCGGCGCGCAACCACGACGACAGAGAGCTTATACTACTTCTGGTACTACTCTCTGGCGAGCGCCAGACTCTGTCGGAAGGTTGTTCTCTCTCGCGTTCACGCGTTGTCAAAAGGTGTCTGCCATTTATACTAATTTTCTAAATCCCATTCGAACAAATTCATTAAATTTATATAAGCTATTGTTGGAGCCGTGAAGCGTCGAGGTGGCAAATTTTCGAAGCAAGTGTCGCGTTATCGAGTGTTAGAAGTGCGTTGAAAGAGTGACAGCTGAGAAAGATTGGCAGGCGTTGCAGCTGATTGACCGCACAGCGGGAAAAAGTCAATTCAGGATAATAGGGCAAAGCAGAAGCAGAACAGCCACAGGACGCTAGAAACATCACACTCAGTAAGGTTAGGTTCATCGCTTCGTTTATACATATACAACACCACACGCGCCACCGCCACCGCTGCTGTTATCCATCTTTTTGTTCATAAGTGTTGGCCGACCCTTTATCTCAACCCGAATTTCTCTTGGTTTACCTATCAACCACTTTGATGCTAGCGTTGTATCTATATGAATTTCGCCACTTGGTCGATAAATATCTATCAACGTTCGAATTTTCCACAAAACCATCAAGCAGCTATAATAGTTAAACCAACGAAGATAGACGCTTAAGCGTTAAGCGCCTATCTTCGTTGGTTGAACTCTTACAAAATTCCCCCACTCGAAAAATGAACGTCTGCCAAACATCTCTCGTAATCGCTCCAAATTCCAAGGAATAGTTTTAGCTAATAAATTGGCAAATTTAACGGTTACTTCGAAAATGACTATTTCCTACTCTCTCACGGATAGAGCGCATTGAACAGTAGTGCGACACGTTAAATTTTCGCGGAACAAATCGATAAAGATTCGTATGGGACAGCTGTCAGAATTGCGTTCAGCTATCTAGCGTGGCGCGAAAGCTTTTGGCGCTTGCGGATAACGTGATAAAAATTAAGTATTCTACGAGCTTGTACATTTTTTATATAACTGATAGATGTGCGTTAGTTTTTTGTAACGCATAAAAATCGAGTTTCGTCTGTTATTTTCAATTTTCGCGCATTTAAACAGCCAATTTACATCCCATTCCAATTCATAGACAGGATTTCAAAGAGTTAATGCGTTTGCAGCAAATTAAATTATATGCCGTTCACTATGCAAGAGAGACAGATGGTCCTGAGCTGCGTTACGTTGATTAATGAATAAAACAAATATGCAAATGCTTTTTTACACTTGTACAAATCTCACTTAATGCAAGTCAATTTACAAATTTAACTCTGCTCGATCTGCATGTTACGAGCGTTACCAACAGAATTTGAATATCGAACGAGTTTTTGCAATATCTCATCGCTGCGTCATAAAAAGAACAAAATTAAAGTTCTCTCTCTCTCTCTCTCTCTCACTCGTCCTGAAAAAAAGAATGTTTTTTCTCTCATATAAATTTCTTTAATTTCTGCAGAGGCCTCCGCAAATTTGCAGCAAAAAAAGGCCAGAAAAACTTCTTTTGCAGGGTTTTTGTCATTCTGATCACGTCGCGAGAGCATCGAGTGTAATGAGTTTCCCTTTTTGTGGATAGAGAGAAGAGGGTCACGTCGCCAGAAAGCCAGAAGGAAAAAGACTTTTTCACTTCTATCTAACTCTCCCGTGTGTTTACCTTGAACCAAGTACATGTTCATGTGAGGATTGCATGCACGAGAAACGGATTTTCCCTTTTTTTTTTCTTTATTATTTTCTTTTCCGCTTTTTCCAATAATTCTGTGGATATTTATATCAACGGGTTGTGTGATAGGTATGGTCAATTGATAATTTATTCAGTGAAGTGCGCGCGTCATTTTTAATTTTTCAGTTCATTACCTTATACCGCAACTTAAAATTATTTTAATTTGATGATGCTGTTAAATGTTCAACCGCTGAGGATGACATTTTAACGCGTTTCCCGCGATATTTAAATCCAATCAGGTTTTCGAACACTCCGTTCATTACAAGCTGTCAAGTACCAAGCTATGCAATAAAAAAATACGAATATCCTACAAAATTATCAGTCGTGCAATGTCCTTAAAGTGTGTCGATTATTCAAATTGATGCTTTAATAATCAAATTGTTATGACTTGAAACATATCGACGAATTTACTCAGATGAAGACATAAAATAAAAGTAGAAGTTAATTCTAATTATTATCAATTTCAAATTTGTACACAAAGCTTGAGTAATAAGAAGGCACGATAATATATTTTTATAATTTCAATGAAATATTCAATTGACCGAGTAATCACACTTTAGCATGACATTAAAGTGAAAGAGTAATGAAAGTGTTATTATTAGAAATAGCTTTGCGATTATGAACAAGCTTCATGCTCGAGATCTCTCGTTACTACATAATTTTCCAAATGATAAATGCCGTCGTGTATAAGGTAAAAAATAAAAAGCTCGACTATTCAGACGGAAATAATCTTGTTATGTATAATTACGTAAGCGCAAAGTCTGGTTAAGAAGATCACAACTTGGAAAATCGCATTTATTTCGTTGAAAGCAGTATACAGAAGAAAATTTAACATCCGAAAGTGAGAAATTTCACGAACGGCGAGGCGTACAGCCTGCGCGCAATTAAGTCGCGCGCTGTCGCACTTCGGCGTCGTGGAATGCCGCGCGAATTTGATGGAAAGGCGCGCGCGCGAGCGAGGATCAGCCGCACAATAATACGCTCTCGTTGAGAGGCTTCCGGGATTCAACTCCGCAGGCTTCGTGTGTAGGCTAAACACACGCTCGAGAATTTCACACTTGTGCGTAATCTTTCGTTGAGATATACCTGTCATTGTTATCGCATGAGTGTCTATATTATTTGCTTATTTCGTTGACTCGCCAACTGCGATCAGATTCTCGTCGATTAGATATGTTGATTCGAAAAGGAAATTCCTTATTGGTAAAACATCAACGATTCATCGCACGGTACAGTATTTTGTGATCGGCTAATTACTTTATTGGAAAATGATAAATGCGCAGTCCCGATTTTTTTAACCGTGCGAGCGAATCTCAACGATCGAAAAAATAAATTAAATTACGCTCGTCCGGAAAAAATTTATAATCACATTTGTTTTTTCATTCTGCAATCTACTTTCGAACTTTGGTACAAAACGAAGAGCACATTGTTCTTTGCAAAAGTCTACACTGAATAGGTCATGAGAAAGTATTGATTTTGTTTCTAATAAGGTTTCATCTCGTTCCGTAGAAACGTATAACTAGAAAATATACGTAGTTGCCCATTCGATTACAAATAATAGCCTCTATCGTGGCGTTATTGGCGGAATAGTAAGTTGAAATTTCTGCACGAATTGGCGCGAAAACAATAATGATGGAAATATGCGTAAACGAGTCGCTGTGGGAATTCTCATGTATTCTTGATTATTTTTATGGCCTCTCTCATTCTGAAGGAAAAAATCGATCAGTGTAATTGATAACTTGATGAGTTTTTGTATAATTTATCTTCGTTGTAACATAAGCTGAATTATCGTGAAATTGATAACTTAACTGACCCAAAGATTTATTAAGTGTTTTATGTATAAGAGGCAGTATTCATCGATAAATTTCGCATCGTGATTTCTTCATTAAACCAATATCTATGTAATAAATTTCCGGATATTCCAATGTAAATTGAAACTGAATATAAACTAAATGTAATATTCATCAAATGTGTAGCGTGAGGAATGTACGATTCGCGATATATGCATTGATTCCATGTAGCTGCAGTCAATCAAGGATTCATGCTTGAAATTAATTTGCTTGCAGTCCGAATAATGCGGAGGAAGTAAATCTGAAATATTTTGGGCGAAAATGTGCATAAAGTAGTGAAAAAGTCACACTTCTGTACCACCGGTAAAAAATTCATTAACGTTGCCAATGTAATTCTCGAAATGCCAGCAATTCCTAAAAGGCATAATCGCGCGACGATATCGCTTGCATTTCGCTCGAGGTTTCGGATATTGGGCTAATCGAATAATATATTCCCTACGGTAGTGCTGAGCTCTAATTCTGCCACTACGAAGCTAATCGGCTGATTTTTCGATAAACAGTCACGTGTCACGTGATTACAGTGCTACAGGTGCTGATTACACCCAAGTGATTGCGCGTACATGGGCTGCGTACTTTTCTTCACTTTTATTTATCGTTTATCGTTCGATTTTGGATGCCCAAGCAGTGCGCCACTGTTGAGCTCAGTTTGTATTTCATCGAATTTTACCCCGACCTGAATAAAACTTTTTTTCATAATGGCACGTTTACAAATTGGCGTACAGGAATGTTCTCGTTAGTATATTAGGCGATAAACTTAGTGTTATCGTTATCGCAACTTCTTCGGAAGGGCTCCTCGTAGCCAACTGTTGCGTTACTTGGCAATGTACTCCGATCTCATAATCCGCTAAACGCAAACATTTTTTGAGCAATTCAACACCGTTCGTTTCACCACGCAACCGTAGTATAAAGCAATATTAGCTTACGATTATGAAGCGTATGACGCTGATTGGCGTCATTGGTTCGACTCTATTTTTATTGTTTTGATAGAATAAGGCGATATTTTTATATCGCAAGAAGCAACTCGTTCGTTCGAGCACTCGGCAAAGTCTGCCGCTGCAGCTCTCTCACCCCGAGCGCCATAACGGTCCCCGTTCGATCCTTGAGCTCGTCACCGTTCTCGCGTAAAGCCTCGTGACATCGGCCTCCACCTCCATTGCGGGCTGTTACAGAAGAAGATCCCCGAGCTGCTACGGTTAGAGGCCACAGGAATTCACTTGCGCGCACACGGATCGCCCCGACCGCAATCCGCGCTCGTACGTACTCGCATACACACGCACGCGCATCGAGCCCGCTCGTTGCTATTGTTTATCGCGGTCGTCGCTCAAATTGCAATGGCGCACTTTACACTTTTTTTTTTTAAATCCGCGCAGACTTACGCGTGCTTAGATCGAAGACGCTCTCTCCTGTTTTCGTCTGTCGCGCGCGCGTCTGTCGGTTTCCCCGCACATCCAAGTCGATCCGCCAGTGCCATTCGTATAGAGTACCTTATTCCCTATATATATATATACGTCTCGGGATTTAGCGTCATTTTGGCTGTTCCGCCTCTTCTGTACCTGCTCTGATGGGCATTTAACGATTGCCACAGTTTCAGGGCCTGCTTATTATATCTTCAACAGCTTTGCATCAATTACGTAAACGATTTGATAAGGAAAAAATTTTTTAAAGAATTTTTTATTACTTTCCAGTAAGCATATAATTCGACTACTATAATCGTAGACTTTATGTGGGTCTCGCTTCAACTTTCAATGTTAAATCGTTTTTGTTTACCATTTTCATTACAGCGCTGTCGGTCTGATATCGTCTA